ATTTATTTCTGTCAAATTAGTTTCTAATACGAAAAGATCATGGCGTAAGACCTACTAGAGAGAAATAAGATCATCTATAAAATAGCCATCTAAATTCAAATCTTCACAGAATTTGTCGTGAAGACATTGTATACTCTTTAGTGACAAAAATAAGTTTTGATAGCATAAAATATACATTTAGAACGTTCAATTAAAATGCAGTTAGTCTTATTAATAATTTTTCATTTTACAAACTCTTTTTCTCACTTATTTAGTGTTGAAAAAAAGGAAAAAATTTCTATTCTTATTTTATGTTATTATAGACAAAAGTTTTAATTTAAACTTTTGTAACATTCTAAAACTGAAATAAAAAAAAAAAATCCATGCTTTTATTATCATACATAAGAAATACTATACTTACATTATAAAATCTCAAAAAAAACAAAACAATAAGTAACCCCCTCTCCAGAATAGAAGGCCACCTATCAGACATTTTTGTAAAATCTATATTAGAAGATCGTGACCCATTGAGCCATTTTTTAAGAAAATTTGTCAACATTTAACTTTTAAAGAGTCTTCAAACTGACTCTTAGAATATTTTGCATTTATGAAATATTTTTTTTTGCACAGTACGAAGTATGTGTTATTTGAAGTGAAGGGTATAATCCGTATGATTTATTGTCTATGTAGTCTTTTTACTTTCAACATCAACAGAGGACAGTGTAATTAATTCTTTTATTGCAAACAACATTAGACTAAAATCGGTAGAAACTCGATACTAACGTGCACTCATGGCTGGTATTGATTAACTGGGAATGCCTGCGGCTCAGAGAAGAAAAAACAAAGATTTGAAAGCAGTCAACATCTTGATTTTCTGTATAATAAGCTTTCATCTGGTTGTTGAAGGTTAGTAAAATATCATAGATATACATGGCTTAGATAATTTTATAAGTTTTTTTGGTTTTTGCTAATTTTGCAACATAGAATTCTTTTATTTTTCCATATAATGTCACTATTTTCAGACATAAGAAAATAATTGCATTGTACGCGTCTACGAAAGTAATATGAAATCGGACAATAACTCATTTCTTATACATAACAATATATCCCCCAGAGGTAAGATATTGTAAGACTTTTATAACTCTTTTTTTTCTAATAATTCTCACGACTATATATAATACAGATTTTTTTTTTATAAAATTATAAATATTTAATATGCACACCAAATGTCAGTGATTATTTTCTATAAATTTTACTCATTATCTAGGATTTACACATTTTAATGATAGTCATATAATGATCGTATCTTATCTATTATATTTTAAGTTAATAAAAATAGATTAAAAGAAAAAAAAAAAGAAACATTTTTCTAACCATTTTAATCATTTTAGTAAAAAGAAAAAAAATTTTTTTTTTTAAAAAATTAACTCTTCCATTACGGAAAATGGAAAATAAAAAATAATATACATACCGTTGATTATGTGAGTTTATAAAAAGTTGTTGTTGTTTTTTTTTTTTTTCTTAAATTTTTTATTCGTTCAATCATGCTATGGTCGAATAAATTTGTTTTTATATCGGTAGATTTACATAGACTTAGCAGACTCTTCGTGCTTTTCACAAAAAACACATATATAATAATTAGGAAAAACAGAAAAGAAGAGAGAATGATGAATGATCAAATAGCTTTTACTTTCTATTTTTTTTTTCTCCTATCTATTGAATAATAATTTTTAACAACATATTTTATATATTTTTTTTCTCTTTCTCTATAATAACGATTGTATAATAACGAGAGGAGATAGATTTCTTTCCATTTTTTTTTTTCTTTTTGTTTTCATTTGACCTTGTTCTAGCAATTCATTGTACACTGCTCTCTCGACTGATTATAGACTACATTGCTTAACGATTCTAAAAAAAACAAAAACTTAAACTTATCTGTCACTCATTTCAAGATCTCTCGTAATGTTCTGAACATTATGAAAATGTTTGTGCGGAAATGTAATGCGTACATATATATTCTTGTATGGTTTATTCAATCGAATTACACTCCTTTTTTTGTCTTTTTTTTCCGTGTGTTTTTTTTTGTTTTCTAAAATAGCTAAAGACAGTAAAAAAGGGGTTAAATCATTGATGTCTGCTCTAACGATAGACAAATAATATGAATAGCAATAGTGTTCTATTAAGAGAGAGAAAAGAAGAAGAAAAGTTGGTAAATTTAATCACAATCTTATTTTTCAACTGAAAAATCTAATTATTGGAAAAATACTTGAACAGTTAAATTAAATTAAGTAATCAAACAATATGTGTGCGTGTGTGTTGAGGGTTATAATGTCAGGATGATAGATGTGCTTGTCTTTTTAATGTGATAAAGTAGCACTGAATATTTATGGACAGAAAAGAAAAAAAATACTATGAACTACATCCATCAGACATCAGAATAATAAAAGAGAATAAGACGGAACAAAACAGAAATAACAATCGAATAGAACAATATATTGATAAGAAATTTCTTTTTGATACAAGTATATCAAAAAACAAGTTTTCTTATTGAACTCGTTCATTTTTTGTAAAAAAAATATTTTACATTTGATATTTGATCTGATTAAAACATTAATAAAACCCTTGCTTGATTTGTTATGAAATTTTGTTTTGACTTTATTAGAGATAAACAACAAGATAAAGTTGATACTAAGAATAATAGAAGGACGAATACTTTCAGATAGAAAAGTTTTGGGTGATTACCTTTAATTTTTCTTTAAATTGTCAAAAAATAAATTATTTATACTCATATTCAACAAAAACTATGTCCAGAATCACTTCGTCAATTTCTGATTTATTTATCAATGTATTATTCGTTATAGTCTTAATAACTTGTTAAAATATGTAACTAAGAGTGTGCAATATGACACATTTTGTGTTTATAATACAAATGGTACTTCAATAGTCTTGTGCTATAGAAAGTAAAATTATTTGTAGCTCATTTTGATACTTTCTTGTCGAATAACTTTTTTGATTGACAGAAAGGAGAAAACAATTCAGATCTCTTTAAAGAGAAACAATAGCAATAAAACTGTGAACATTTCAGATAAATGACGTTTATTTTTTTTTCATTTTGTGTTCTATTCCAATATTTACCTGTTGCTTGTATTTTTCCTTTTTGTTTTGATTGATAATCTTATCTTGTTAGATCTGGTTATAGTTTTCATGGAAAGTGTTCAAATTAGCTGTTATTTATCAATTGCCGTGTTAAGCTGTAACTAATTCCAAATTTAAGTGGCATTTGTTTTTGTGCTAATTGGATAGAACTCACTAGTGAACAGACCTTCGTATAGACTGGACTGGACTCAAACTTTCAAGACAATGGACTCAAAAAAACAAATTTTGGATTTCACTTGAATCCCTATGGAGGAAAAATAAGTAAAAAGCACTAGAAAGCTTGTCAGCATTGCTTCTACGAAGCAAAAATGTGAAAACATTCTATTGAACTGTTCCATAGAACATGTAATAATATATCGTAATTTTTGAAACTTGTGTCTAACAACATCAGATCAATAATGCACTGTCTGTTACTATTCTATTCAATAGCTGTGAACACCATTTCAGTAGCTATAAACACCAAATTTATATTGAAATTTAGTCTGTTGAAACTCGGACTGGAGTGGACTAGACTCAGAATTTTGAATCCATACGGCAGCCATCCCGATCAGGGGAGGGCAAGAGGACCAGCCCCTCCCTGAAATTTTTGACTTTCCGTAAAAGTCTTTCCCTTGCGTTTCCGCCGCGGAAAATGTGGCAGCGATGTAAAGGGAAACGGAGTTGCTCATGAACAGTTCCTCACCGACACTTCCTCACAAGGATATTTCCTCACATGGACGGTTCCTCATATGTACCGTATTTTTGCATCATCATTTTCCATAAGATTTTTTTATAAGCTTTCCGTCACAATTATAGGGGGGGGGGGGGGGGGGGGGGGGGGGGGGGGGGGGGGGGGGGGGGGGGGGGGGGGGGGGGGGGGGGGGGGGGGGGGGGGGGGGGGGGGGGGGGGGGGGGGGGGGGGG